CTGCCCTCCTCCTCCTCCGCCGCCCTCCCTCGCCTGCCTCTCACCTCCGTTTCTCCCTCCTCTTCCTCTCTCTTCCCCCTTCCCTCCTGATGCGGCGGCGGGTGCCAGGCGACGACGCCCCTGCGGGCGGTACGCAGGCGCGGGAGGGGCTCGGCGGCCCCCTCCCTCTCCCCCATCCTCCGTGCAGCCGCCTCAACGCCTCCTCCCGCTGGGGAGCTTATGCTCCTTTGCTCGACGAAACACTAGGTGCCTGTGCGGCGGCGGCAGCGGCGGTGAAGCTCGGCGACTGGATTTGACGGTGACTCACCCTCTTCTTCTCCTCCTTCGTCCCATGGCTCCTCCCCCAGATCCTCTCTCCCTCGCGTTAATTTCTATGGCAATTAAGAGCTGCAGATTCTAAAGCTTTTGCTGCTTTTATTGCCTTCAATATTTATTTTTCTGTAACCTCAATTAATGTTTGTTGGTTTGTTCAAACCAATACCTCTAGGTTAGCAACAATGGTTACATGTACAATCTTGATTTATTGCTGTGCATTGATTTGTCATCTCCTTGGAATGGATTGTGTCCATTCATTGAAAGAGCAGCAAGGCCGGTGCCTTTTATATGCCATTTTTTTCCTTGTGTGATTTACGACAGTGATTGGTTAGTGCATATGTCCATGTGCTCCTTCCAGTACATTCCTGTTTAACTTAAACCAATGAGTTTCCACACAGAATGATGCTCTATTTTAAATGTCATGTCAGTTTTTTCTCTATCTACACTGATGGACCCCATTCGATTTTTGGGGATTCGAGCTGAATCGTCTTGCGAGGACAGCAGCAGTCAGTGCGGCCATCAGCACTATGATGACAGAGCGCTCGGCAACGGGCAGCATCCCGGCATCCCCAGCAGGCAAATAGGTACAGTCTCAAACTGAACTGTCTTTAGGAATAAAGAAGAATCGAACTAGCGGGATGTTGTTATTTAATTATTTTAAAGATCCAAATGAGGCTGCAATCAGAGATTAGCCCGTTGCATGCTGCTACCCTTCTTAGTTGGAATACAGCACTGGCTTGCCTCCGTTTAAAAATCCAATACACCACCCAGGGTGGTTAGAAGAAAAACAGAGACCAAGTAAATGCTTAGTCAGTTCGGTGATTTTTTACTCCATATGTGTTTAGCTAATATTACCTTCTTCTTTTTTTTTTGCTTTTGTTCTGATTTTGCAAGCTGGGGTCTAATAACAAGAGGCATTTCCTTCCTCTTTATTGAACTGGACCGGTTCAAGCTCAGATAAACCTTTTGTTTATGCGTGCCTTACAGTGCTCAAATTGAAACTATACCTGCAGTGGAGGAATGACCGGAGGAAGGGACCAAACTATGCTCAACAGAACATCGGCCAAGACTACTGCTGTGTGAGATTTCTCATTCTCGTTACCTTCTACCTTCAATTAATTTGTAATTTCTAAAAGGATTTCGATCCATGTACTGGGGCGTACTGGCTTCATTTCTCAATTTCTAATTTGTTCGAGATCCTGCGCTAAATGTCGGACCACAGGGTAGCGTGAAGAGAACAAGGGACCTAAAAGCTCTGATGCTGCTCAACTTATCTGAAATCAGCAACCTCAATCTGTCTCTGACCTGAAAGGTAGCCTGTGGTACATTTTCAAATGTTCTTTCGATATGTGTTTCGGCATGTTCAAATCAAATGGCTGCAGGTGTAGAGGTTTTAGATAGGTTTCATCACAAACCGGCAACTGGACTTTTAAAAACCTCACATGTATTTTTGTCAGTTCAGAGATTGAACTTTTTAGCTCGTCGAAACGACTAGATAAATTACAGGCTACCTCCTGCCACAGTGCGATGTATTCAAGTTCTTTCCTTTCTTTGAACATTTTACTGCAGTTCAATTGATCAGTGTGGGTATTAAATTCTAGGGCTGTTGTTGTTTCCTCTTGATGATTGATTTTTTTATGCCTGTGTTGTTCTTCACTGAGATCTGTGGCTTTTCAGTACCAGAGAAAAAACTTGATTATGGATGTGACCATTAATGTCGATACACGCTATTCTCATTTTGATTGGGTATACATCTTATTAATCTATATATGACAACTAAGCATTGATGCTGTTCAGTGGTCTGCCCTTGTGTTACTTATTTGGTAATGGTGAGAAGTGTAGCCCATTTCTTAATGTCATACTTGGATTATAAAATATAATCTATGCTACATTTTTAAGATGGTTGCTTCATCTGATAAATTAGTATAATTTATCCAAATATTATGATCACTATATGAATCTTCTCTTAAACAGTTAATCCTGCAAGATTATTTTCTAAGAATTTTCACATCTGATTGACTCTTTTTTTTTCCTATGAGAATTAAATCAGCTGTCATTTAAATCTAGCTACATATTATTTGCTTTAAATTGTAATACATTGCCAGATGAATTATGCATCTGGGAAAAAAACTGGTACTAACAATGTGATGATTTTGTATGGATAAGTATATGACTTGCGGTTCTATAATGCAAGATAATGGATATCTGTGGCCTGCGGCGGTGTGCATACGAAGAAACCCTCAGAGGCAAGCTGGTTCTAGACAAGGTGATGATCAGTTGTGTCGTCTACTCCCTTGATGCATCGCACAGGTGCATTCACAGGTCAATTTCCATGGCCACTCTACCACAGTTGCTCATCATGCCGTGTTGCAGCGTTAGTGCCACTACTGTCTCTAGCGTTCATTTTGTTGCTGCTGCTTATGCTTCCATTGGCACAAAGGCAGCGCAATCTTTAACTTCACATAACTGCTATCACAGTTTAGTCCTTGGGCTACTAGAGAAAGGAGAGGGGCTGGGCTAACTTTAGTTTGCTCTATTTTTTTTGGGTGACTCCTCTGCTTGCTTCTGCAGTTTTTTTCAGACTTTCCTATGCCATCAACTTGGAGACCAATTGGATGATTTCTTTTATCCTTTACTTGATTGTATATTCTCTTATCTCGTGACGCAAGATGAATCATATTTACTCATTCATTTTTCCATGTCCAGCGGTTGTCCTACTCAATCTAATATCTCTTGCAGTCCTGCTCCATGAAAGGTACGATGCTCCCTCAGAATAGTCGTGCTCCATCCCTCCGAACACTTCTTTTATATATAATAATGTTGCAGTGAAGCTTGCTTCTTTTAAAAAACAATGGTAAAAACTAATGCTTCTGCACTAATAAGTTATGAAGCTGATTAGTTGTTTGATCAGTGTGTGTATCATTGACTTATATATAATAGTCTCTACTTACACTTATTAGTTCATTGCAAATAAAAAATGCCTGTTCATTTCCAGTTTTCCCAGTCCTAATGGCTACCTCCAGATTCAATTACTGTTCTTTTTTTCAAACTGATTAATACAGGTACAAGCTAAGATTACTATGACTCTTACCAATGTTTCAGCATAAGCGCTATTTCTTAGCTTGCCTCCAGAAAAAAAAAATGAGCTGGTCGATTTAAGGTTGTGTATTGCCTGCGCGTGCTTGTTTTAATTCTTTGCCTAAGAACGTTGATTTCAGTGTGTACTGTGTTCTTAAGATTGCCAGTCTGAATTATTCTTTCTTGGAAGCAAAGACCTTGTCGCTTTCTGTGTTAGTCATTAGATTATACATGAGGGCCGAAATTAACCTTTTGTTCTGCATATCTCTATTGTAAGCTGCTACCTAGCGAGCACCAAATTAAATATAGCTAAAGGACATCGACATATAGATGTTTCTATTTATTATTCATGACAATAGCATTTCGCATTTTACTTATCAAATTATGTTCCTGGTTTTAATCAATGCCTGGAGTAGAACAGACTAATAAAGGACAAGATGTTAGCATTTTCTCCTTAGAAGAATGTTTCAGGGATTAGTGTTCATGGATACCTATAAGAAATTCTAACTGTTGTTTCGGTTGCTGTGACACCCAAAATCCAAAAGGTTTGGACGGTACCACTTGGGTTCCAGAATGCTCATTGTGCAAGGCGTGCTCTGCACTGCCTCTACTCATGCATCTTGTTCCCTTGCATAGGGTGATAAAAAAGTTACATTTCGCCTTGCTATCCCTCTCTATTTGAACACTTCTTAAATCAGTTCTGCATCAAATGATATATCTATGTATATATTTGGGTATCACTACCTAATCTCCACACCATGAACCAAACCTTTGTCTGTATATACTTGGCTACAGCTTTTATCCAATATTTCCAGTCTATGAACTAAACATATATTTCCTATGTCTAACAGTCATATTCTCTCGATCTTTCTATTGCAGTCTGATGATTACCATAAACTAAGCTGATGGACACCAGTTCTATGAAGAAGATATTTGAAGATTTCATGATTTTTTTCCTTATTTTTTTATGTCAACTTCTTATTTATTGTAACGTTTGTAGACACACAACTACCAGTACAAAAAAATCTACAGTACAAAATGTAATATACATGTCCTGGATGTATATCTACCTCTCTTATTGCTCCTATTATTACCAACATGTTTTTCTGTCTTCAAAATCTTTCGTGTGCCCACCAACGCGCGCGAGGGCGCGTGCCTTGCACTAGTTCACTAATAATCATCTCTAGTCAAACCTAGCCTAGCAAAGTCATGAAGGCCTTTGTATTCTGGTTGCGTTTACTCAAAGGTTTCATCAAAATATTTCCGTTTGTAATGAATTATTTTGTGCATGATGAACCGGCACGTGTCAACACATATGGCTATGATGTAACAAACAACCCTAATGTCCAAGCAACTGTTACCAAACATAACCATTCTTCACACCTTTGGTTCAATCAGGCGTAATTTCGTAAATTCTGCCTGCCCACAACTACAACTTAAATCTGGAAGTGTATTGAAGTCAAACCGCAAAACTACATAACCATACCCGCGTCTACAGCAAAGCTCCCATTATTCTACTAGTCTTGCAATGGTCGATTAAGCATAAGGCATACCACAATACCATCCACCTTAACTTAAAATCACACCCCAGTTGTTATGGTAGCGGATCAGAAGCTCCCATGAACCAATTGCACCTTGCACGTGGTGAACTCCATGGACTTGTACTTCTCATTCTCGGAGAAGATGCGCGGGAGCGTGGGCATGTATGTCACATCGGCGCCATAGCGGCAACACAGCATGTGGAAGGGGGCTCTGAGTTGTCCACCATCAGGGCCACCAGCAACAAGGATCCCAACCATCTCTCGAGCGTCCACGCACGCTCCACCTTCTCCTCTACGGACACCGACAGCAGGAGCGGCACAAGGTCCTTCTCTTCCGAACCCGTGACGCTAGCGCAAAGAAGAGCAGTTGACCTCCTGCACCGGCGCAAGAGCGTCGACGTTCCCTATCGCTAGATGTGTCGTGCACTGCAGCAAAATGGGCACCACCGCATACCCCAACGCTGGATGGAGTGGCGCGTGATAAGCACCACCTCATCGAGAGGTCATTCTTATAGAAGAGAGCGAGGATTCGGCAGTGCAGGTCAAGACACTTCCCAAAGTGCACTAAGGCCAACTCTAGGGATCTTGGGCGCGTTAGGGTTTGACGTGGGAGCCACGCTTGCGGCATCGGTGTTCGCAGGAGAAGGAAGCAATCCCACATGCATGATCAATGGGTAAGGTGGCATGAAAACAGAAGATTCATGAGGAATAGAAACCAGAGAGGGAGGGAGAGAACCGCGTGATGCACGATAACCGTGGCCATTAGATCAATCAACGAATCCTAATCAGAGGTAAGCTATTTTCAAATTTTTCGCTCTTTTATAGTATGGAATAGATAGATTATTTTAAGCCTTAATTTTATTCTCCTAATTCTAAAATACTATTGTCCAAAATTTAGAACATTATATTCTTGTAAATCTAGATTATTTCTTGATTCTAGAAAATTAGATTGCTTAATAAAAAACATTTTTTTTATCTCCACAAGAAAAATATTCGTTAACAAAATATATTATGTACATAAGAGGTATTATTTTAAGGATTTACTGTAAGCAATGCAAAGGTACACTTAGATTTAATTCTGATGCTGGGTTTGTCAACTACAGATTTTTTTTAATTAAATTCTATTAAATGCCTCTTGAGCATGAGCTAGCCGTTGGGTTGGGCTTATGCGCTAGGACGCTTGGGCCGCTCGCACCATACTTCCCTGGCTTGTTAGGTTGGCAAGCATGGACAATTAGTGTCGTCAAACGATGAGTCAGCTTTTCTCAAAAAAATAAACGAAGAGTCAGCTCATTTAAAAAAAATCGGACGCCAGTTAGCCGAGTCCACGAGCTAAGTCTTTCGTCTAAGATGAGACGAGTCTACGAGCTAACAGTTTTTCGTCGAAGACGAGACTGCAAATCAGATGGCGAACACAATGCAATCGCGCAAATACATGCAATTGGGAAATCTCATTGAGCATGCGGCCGAAAAACTTTCGGCAGCTCTTTGTAACGTTTTGCGCTTGAGCTGGGGCTTTACCGCTTTACAAATAGTTCAGCCTCAAGAATACAGCCAAAAACATAACACTAAAATAATACATACATTCATTCGGAGCCATATAACACTAAAATAATACAAACATATAACACAAATAATAACAAATAACAAAAGTTTCAAATAGCTTCTGGAGACCAAGAAATTCAGCCCTCGTTTAGTTCACGAAATTTGGATTTTGAGGCTACTGTAGCACCTTCGTTTTTATTTGGTAAATAGTGTTCAAACAATGACTAATTAGACTCAAAACGTTCGTCTCGCAATTTCCCACCAAACTGTGCAATTAGTTTTTCTTTTCGTCTACATTTAATGCTCCATGCACGGGCCGCAAACATTCGATGTGACAGGTACTATAGCAACTTTTTGGACTTTGGGGTCCAACTAAACAAGGCGCAATCACATTTATTCCAAGCCATGCAATCTAAATCCAGCGTAGCTTCGGGAAATTCAATTCCAACAATGACCATCACTTTTATCACATTTATTCCGAGCCATGCAATCTAAATCCAGTGTACCACAATCGATAAACAACCAGGGAGGAAAAGCATCATTACTGAGAAAGATGCAATAACGAGTTGATCCTGATCTTGTGAATTCAGGGAAAAGAACTTAAGCTAAGCACATGAAAACCTCTACTACAGATCCCAGGGGGGGAAAAACCGGTGGAAATAGTTGAACTAGTTGATGTTTGCGAGAATGCCTACAATAAAACCATGAATGTGAATTGCGCACAGCAATCAAGCAATGGATGATATAGGCAACAGGGAAAAAAAGGAAACCAAAGTAAATAATGGTAACCTTGGCAAAGTTGCCCGAAAAAATGTACAATGGTAATCAGAAACCAAATTCAGTACACATGGTCAGAAGGCCTAAATATTAACACACTTGGATTCAAAATATCGAACTAGTTGATGTTTGCCAGAATGCCTACAATAAAACCATGAAGGTGAATTGAGTACGGCAAACAAGCAATGGATGATATAGGCAACAGGTGAAAAAAGGAAACCAGGTAAATATTGGTAACTTTGGCAAAGTTGCCCGAAAAATATTTACAATGGTAATCAGAAACCGAACTAGCATACATGCTCAGAAGGACTAAATATTAACACACTTGGATTCAAAATACAAGGCAAAAACTCACAATCATGTCACTAATGGAAAAACAAATTGATTACACAATGTCACGCAAAAAGAAACAGATTATGATACAGAATAGAAGAATACATGAGAATTCATAGCACTGCAAGTTTCATACAACTTCACTGGTGAAATGTTCTTTTACTAAACAATGTTGGCAAGGACGCTCATCCAAGAAACCAAATAAAATAGCTCATGAATTGGAAAGTTCAAACATCCAGTAGCAACAGTGATATTGGCAACAGGGAAAAAAAGGAAACCAAATTTGTAGTTGGTAACCTTGGCAAAGTTGCCCTCCTAAGTAATGAGATCATTTTTTAGAAACACAAAACGTCACAACTTAAACACCAAACTAGCAAATTTTACTACTTTAAGAGCATTGCAAATATATTCAATTAAACAAGCAATCGGCAAGATTAGCAAATGACAAGGAGGGGTAAAGAGTAAAAACAACGTTGACCAGATCATGTTGCAACTGACTTGACACAGGGAAGACTGCAGCCACATAGCCTTAAGCAAACACCAATTTAGACATTTGAGTAAAGTTTGAAGCAGATGACATCTGAACTGGCTATTATAATTTATAAGGCAGCAGATGGTAAAGGATGGGGATATTCATCAAGCTAATAAAGGCCACTGCCACTGCATGGACCTACAACTATAGAATTTAGAAACAATAGGTTGAATGTAGATTCGATTAACCTGAACTAGCAACCCTCCAGGGTGTCAGGGTGAGTTGGATCACATGAACAAGTTGGGCCTGGAAGCCTTGAAGGTGGTCTTCAGCTTCCTGGTTGGTGGCCTGACTTTGCGGTAAACCAAAGGAAACTTGATCTTCGAATTGTGGAACTGCTTGGTGTTGTCCCTCTTGCAGAGCTTGAAGTCGACTGTTGCTGTCTTGATGATCTGGATGCAGGGTGACCTCACACGGTGACGGGAAGCCATCTCATTGTACATCTGCTCCACAGCACCATTCAGGGTGGTATCACGGTACTCCTTGTACATGTTGTGGTAACCTGTCCTGCTCTGGTAACGTAACCAGATGCCATAGTTCTTGATTGTGGTAGGGTTACGCTCAAAGATCTGTGAAAGAACAAGCATGTTTAGAAGCAGACATGACAAAGAAAACAAACGCTACATTTAAATTTACAGAGAACAAGTGCTTCGATGGCCAGTGATGAACAGAAACCAATTTTCTACATCCCTAAATAATCCAATTTCCCCATTGGCTCTTGGAAGACAATTAACTTAAGGATTGCAAACCTATCCTCATTAGTTCTGGTACAGCTACATCCACTAGTCAAAATGCCACCAGGAAACCCACTCGACAACTTACGAAATCACAAAAAAGTTTAAGCATCAGTCAACAGCCAAATACTTGATCAGAGTGTCATAATGCCAAACTACCACATCTCATTACATAGTCTGATTAAAAGGGTTCATACAAATAGCAAGTAAGGTGGGTCATAATATGATTGAACAGGACTACTATGTGGCAAGTCTAACATTGGACAATGGCATAGCTCCAACAAGCTATTGACATGCATCAGCTAGTTGGAATCTCTTAAAGACATAAGCACTCTAATGCTGAAAATTGTAAACATGCATTACCCCGTTTGCATTTACTTGTTAATTTGACTTTGACTAATCAACCTTCAACTAAAAATATTTTAAATAATATGATTGTGCAGTATAAAGGGGTATACTTGAAGTTGTAATCAAAGGTACTTTGTGCACCAAGATATATTTGCTTTTACGCTGCTTGAAAAGAAATACTCAGACAAAAGTTACAACTCAATGCAAATAGAAGTAGTAGACGATTTCTTAAGAAATGATCCTTCAGTAGATGTGCATCTAATGTACATTGTCGGACACTCAAGTAGAATAGCACCCACTCTCTGCTTAAGTAATCCAAGGGCAAACCAAATCCCCACAATCCAACATTTGAGAAACCAGATGACAAGGTTCATCACTGCAATCTCAGATCTCAACTGAAACAGGTCTGCCTGTGCTACTCACTTCTAAATAAATTGTGCAACATAAACCATTCATCTATTGCATTTAACCAATTAACAATGATGGAATGTAGTGACTGGTGAGGCAGGGCATCAACTCCACGACATAAATAAAATCAGCAAAAGCAACACACTTACAACACCTATCTGCCAAACGTTTGAAATACTAAACCCATATGATCCACACAAATTCAGCAAAAACACCATCATTAGCATTAAGCGATATGGCGTGGTCGTACCTCGTTGATGGCGAGAATCTGACCGTTGCTCTTCTTAACCTTCTTGAGCTTCCTCAAAAAGTACCTACGCGCGCACAAGACCCAAGCCATAAGCCATTGTCACGAAACAGACACCAAAGCAACAAAATAAGCACGGTATCATCGTCAACTAGACTACAAGGCACTGACCAGAACTTGGATTTGGAGCGGACCTCGTTGGTAGCCCAGAGCTTCATGCGGTAGATCTTGGGGTGCTCATCAGTGGGGGTTGGCAGCGCGCGACCCACCACCTGGTACTGATGGAACTGCAGGGTCGAAGAAACAAATTACACAAAAGCGGCCCAGATCAGCA